AATCTCCCTTCTGCCCCTAGTCTTTCTTTCTCCTTCTCTCTCTCTCTCTCTCTCTCTCTCTCTCTCTCTCTCTCTCTCTCTCTCACACACACACACACACACACACACACACAGCGCTGTGCCCCTCAGTATGCACGGCACGCCCGCTCGTCATTGCGAAGCTCTGTGATCTCATCGTCCGTAATGTCTGATATGGAGCGTCCACGGGACCTTGGACAGATACGAGCGCTGTCGACTGCAGGTGGCCGCCGGTGTGCAGCACATACGGACGGACGTTCCGCCTCAAATTGGACGTGCTGAATCACGGCTATGAACAAAGAAGTGGTTTCGTCAAAGTAGTGGCGTCACTGGTACCGAGTTAAATTATAAATTTTAATGCCACAGACTAATTTTAAGAAATTCCTACATGTTATTGTATTCTGGTTTCATTTAATGATTCACAAATTTATCTAACCTGGACGCTTTACGCTCAGGAAAATGGTGTGATACTTTTTCATTATAAACCGTAACTATGACAACTTTGACGCATCTTTAAAGAAACTTGCTTCTGGAAGCAACCCGCATTAAATGCAATGTTCCAAACATGTGCCTATTAAAAACGCACAGTCACCTGTTTGAAAAAGAAAAGAGAGGACACATTGTCATTGTGTTGGTATTTATTAATCCTCTCTGAAGGGGAAGGCCAGCAGCCTAGTCCGCGCCAGTCCGCCCACCACGCTGGCACCAGGATCACCCTCAGCCGTAGATGGGCATCGCGCCTCTGAGCAACAATCACGAGAAGCACCGCTAAAAGTAATAGAGTATCAGTGCGATGACACGTTTGTCTCGACACCAATTTTATCGACGGTAACTGGCTGATGTCATAGGAAATCAGGAATTGTAACAAACAATGACATAGAAATAATTAATACTTTCACACTTGCAAGACAACAACCCTGGTTATCATAATTTTTGGTTCCTCTTGAATACAAGAAGCGATCCCTTGACAATAGACGATTTAAAAGCTCATGAGTTTGATGACCACAGTTGCGTGCACTGTGATTTTAGAAGCGGAGCAGTAATTTGATAGTGCGGTCGTTAACATAGATTTTAAAGCCCTGCCAATATCAGAACACAAAAAAATTGTTAAATACACATTGGCCGTTTTATATCGTACCCCCCACCCCTGCGCTTCTTACTCTACGAGCGTCGCGTCGACACCAAAAGGAACCGGACATTATTTACTCAGGTTTCAAGCTGTCGCTCTTATTTAAAGTGAACTAAATTCCAATTGAAGTTCTTCAAAGAGAGAATACAGTTGAGATAAAAGGATAGTATAGTGTCAACTATGCGTGTGTGTGTGTTCATGGGAGAGGAAGATAGAGATGGAGGGAGAAAGAGAGA